GGTGGATGGTGGGTGGTGGTTGGTGATGGTGGTTAGTGATGGGTGGTGGTGGCGGGTGGTGGTGGTGGGTGGTGTTGCTTGGGTGGTGAGTGGTGTTAGTTAGTTGTAACATCCCAAAAATCACGGCCAGAAAAGACCAGTTTCATTTATGCTTTTGAATAAAATCAGAGTAATCCTTTGATTAAAAGAGTTGTGAAATTTGTTCCCAAAACAAAATATGATAAGATAAAATTTATCAAAGCATTTCATAAAGAAATGTATTTTCATTATATAACAAAACCTCTGATATCATGTTCCGATACAGACCAAAAGCATAAACAATACAAAATAGACCTTACAACAGTTACATATAACTACTGGTCTATAATCCAAAAATATCTTGACAATGTCATCCAACTTATGCTCTCGGGCCACTACCTGTAATACAAAGAAAAACTGAGTGGGTCAGGCTTGGGAGTCTGGTGAGCATATAGGGTTTTCAACCCACAATAAATAATTATATTTAATTTCACCAACCAACAATAACCTGATTACCCATTCCCGTTATCCTCACTTTACGTCCCTATGACAACAACTATTTCAAGGGACTTAATCTAGGATTTTCATCGAGACAAACATTACTGCAAAGGGGTTTCCTTGACAATAGATGTCCTAAAGGCAACCATGAGGGGGGTAGAGTACCCCGGTAAACACATCGTTCACAACACCTACAGGTTATGAGCATTCTAGCATTCCATTGGACTGTCTAGAAAGAGTCTGTGGTCGTCATTCATACTCCGCTAGATGACTAGATCAACAACAACATCGAGACCTCTCATCATTTTATTTTATCACACACCAACTGTCTACCCATGTTCTACCCAACATATTAGTAGATAATATATATACATTTATATACAGCTTAAAACCTGTACAAAACATCCATTCAACAACTAGTTCAAATAAACAAATAATATATAAACACATAGCACGGGTATATTAGTAAATTAACTTTTATGTGAAAAGGGTGGAAAAAATGTCAGGTGGCAAAAAAAAAGTGTCTTTTATTATTATTATAACTAGGTATGAGACCCGTGTATTACACGGATCGATTTAAAAAAAGATTAAACATTAAATTGTAAACATAAAATATTTTTTAATGTACAACTTTAAAATAAGAAATGAAAAAACGTATTTATTGCAATTTAATATCATATATATGATATTTAATACTTTACATATATAATTATATGACTTTAATTTTAAAAATTGAAACAAATCAAAAATTGACAAGTGGATAATATTTATTTCAAAAATACCACAAAATGACAAGTGTCAAAACTCATGAGAGATTGACATGTGGCAAAAAAAACTTCATTTATTAAGAAGGAAGATAGAGGATAGGAGATAGAGATTTTAAATAAAATAATTTTAGAGAAAATCTATAATTATTTGGAAAAAGAGAGCATATATAGGGTTATCCACATCCATATCTCAATATGCACCACATACACAGAATCAAACAATTGAAAAGAAAACTTTTTAGCATTACAACTGTTTGGTTGTGTCATCTTCCTCATTTTTTAAGGGTGTTTTTGGAACAAAACCCACCATGAATGCCCTCAAACTTAGTAAAACTGCATGTTTTCATTCATCTTTATTCTCTCGTGACTTGACAAATACTTATATCAAGAATCTAAATACCAGTATTCACCCTCGTAAAAGAACAAGATTGACATTGAGAGCTAGTGTTGATGAACAAGAAGAGAAAAAGAGTTCAAAGAAACGAAGCTTTCTCACCCTAGAAGAAGCTGGTCTTGTTGAAATGTCGGGTTTAAGCAGTCATGAAGGGTTTTTATGTCGATTGACGGTATGTTAATGTTTGCTTCAAATTGTAACTTATTTGTTTTTATTGAACTTTTGGTATGTAAATTGTGTTATAAAACTAATAACACATGACCATGATCATGAAAAGTTTATATTTTCTTTAATAAACGACACAATTAATTTATTTGGCTAATTATATAAAAATCACTATATTGTAGACATATTTTTCGAGTTAACCATTGTTTTTTAAAATTCTATTATAAAATCAAACTTTAATACTTTTTTAGTCCATTCATTTTTATCTTCTACACCCGATACAATTGGTTTTTCTTTGATAAGAAGGCCCGAAAAGAACAACAAACATATGGTGGTTAGTTCAAAAAAATGCCCAAAATATATTGGTTAATATGACAAACAACCAATAATATAATGGAAGTGATGGTAGTGAAAAAAATTATCAAAAGTTATTTGATTTTATTCTAAAAATCTCTAAGTATAATGATTTTTATGTAATTTGTTCTTACTTATATATGGAATGAAATTTGTGTTTTTCTAGATAAAATGGTACCCTATCCTCCCTAATAAATAAAGAACTTTTTGTCACTTGTCAATTTCTTATGCATTTGGACACATGTAATTTTGTGGTTAATTTTTAGAAATTAATTTTCACTTGTCATTTTGTGATAATTTTTTAATTTTCTTAATTAACTATCTAATTTTTAGGTTATAGAAAGTAATTAATGTGTCATTCATTTGTTTTCTTATATTTTCAAATTTTAATATGTTTCTTTCAATATATATAATTCAAAATTAACATGTTTCTTTTAAAGTTCATTGTTATTTTAGGCAAAATGGTCTGTATAAAAAAAATAATCAAACTTTGTTGCTTTTTATTGACAAACTAAAAAAAATATTATATGGTCAAAATATAATTATTTTTCAGTAGTTTGTTTTATTAATATAAATTGAATTATTTATTTATTCATCATTTTGTTTGTATATATATTTTGAAATTTTATTTTAAAAAATACTTAATGTTTACACTTTGATATTTAATGTTTTCTTTAAAAAAATATATTTAAAGTTTATATCTTCATATATAATTTTTTTAATCAACTCGTGTAGTACACGGGTTTCACACCTAGTATATGTAACAAATCATTAGTCTATGGACGAATGTATAACTTGTTGAGGTTATTAGTTAAACGAGCATTAAATTATAGAGGTTATTTTAAAAAAAAATTGATGATTTTTTATTGGTTTTGATTTTTTATTAAGGAAGCGTTATTACAAAATAATGGATAAAATGGAAATTTTGTACTTTGCTACGATTGACAAGTTTTTGTGATGGTTTTATGTTATACAGATATCGTCCCTAAATCTTTTGAGGGTGATAGGAGAGCAAGAAGGGTGTAGTATTGAGGAACTGAACGCAGGGAAAGTGTGTGATTGGTTTCTAAAGGACAAACTCAAAAGAGAGCAAAATTTGGATGTTGTTCTTCAGTGGGATGAATCTAATTTTCAACTATAAAAATACCTTTTTTACCCTAAATTTCCACACATACACTCTATGTACAACTAGCAATTGGATGATAGTTTTGTCATTTGGGAAAATATTGTCGGTTGGTTGATTCAAATGGTTAAAATCTAACAATAATTAGTTGAGTTGTACCCAGTTACAACTCATAACCCGATCCAGGGTCTATTTGTCATTTTCAGTAGATCATTGTCCGTTATATTTATTTCGATATTAATAAATGTTCAGAACTTGTTTATGCACTTATACTCTAGGGATAATGACTTAAAAGGGTAGTATATTTTTGATTTATACACATTTGGTCACCGGGTTTTTTTTCCGTCAACATTTACCCCTTCAACTTGTTTAACTGTACATATTTAGTTCTTATGACCAGCTATTTCAGGTAAGCCGGAAAAAATGACTTAAAATGGTAATATTTTTCTAACTTTGTACACATTTAGTCATTAATATATTTTTTTGCACATTTAGTTCTTAATATTTTTTGATTGCAAAATAAGTATTTCTTGTTTTTGTACATATTCAGTACTTACGATTGATTTTTTTTAGATTTTTCTCACGATAACCTATGCAGGACCATCATTAATAAGGTGTTCGAAGCTGTTCATGATTATGGTCCCTCTCACCGCAACCTTGGCTGCTTGGTTACTTAGTTCTTGTGGTTTGACTTAGGTCTTGTATTCTAGACTTCATGACTTCCCGAAATACACAACACTTTGAAGGGGTAGAGTGTGCTTGAAAGTGTTGTCTATTTCGGGAAGCTTTTGTTTATGGTTTGTTATACATGAGTTGACATCCCGAGAGGATTGAATTAATAAATGTCTCTTTTAAAAAAATGTTTTTGAAATATGGTATTTTCGTTGTTAAACAAAGAGTTTGTTATAAGTTGAGTATAAATTGGTTTTAACAAAAATGAAGGAAAGACGAAGTCGTGCCTGATTTCAGACTTTCAGCGAAAGGTTTGGACAATTTGACTCGATAGGTGGGCTCGGCGATAAAAAAAAATTGAAATGTTGAAGGGGGGCCTGGACCCATCCTGCTTTTATCTAAACTATTTGTTAATTATTTACATAAAAAATTAATTTAGAGACAATAGTACAAAATTTGAAAGATACAGAAGATCGACGGGGGGTTACATTTTGATGAATAATATTAGAATTTTTTACATTGATTTTATTCTTTAGGTTTTTTATATGTCATAACTTTGAACCACATAAACTTGTTTATAAACTTTTGTTTTATAGAAATAGGTTCCTGTAAATTTATAGTATGTATATGTATATATGTGTATGAGGTCAACACCTAGTGTTTTCTAATAGAATATCAATTTTCACAAGCTCCTGGAGATCAATCGTCGGTCACTGCTCAATCTCTCGAAAATCGGTGGTCGCATGGTTTAAAACATCAATTCTAAAAGAAGGCTTTAGACAAAACAACCACCAGTGATATAAAGAAGGGTAGTTTAACAGATAACATAAGAGATTAATAGCAACAACCACAAAAAGGATTAAATCATTAAACCCTAAGTTATTAAAAGATCCAAATCTTTTTCAATTTCAATTTCATCAGTTGAGACTTGAGAGTAAGCAGTCATGCAAAGTTAAGACGAAGAACCTCACCTTCATCTCTGAAAATGTCAACTTCCAAGCTGGTGACAAAGCGAGAAGGAAGAAAGTAGTAACATGTGGTTGTGGCGATGTGTGTAGTATAGGTGTTGCTGTTGCACGCAAAGAAAACCAGAACAAGGGAAAAAAAAGTGCCCTAATTACAAGGTAAACAAGGAAATTTTGCTCTGATTTTGCCCTAATTACAAGGTATGGTCTTAAATCTCTTTTTATGAATGTTGATTTTGCCTTAATGGTATAGGTGGGAGGGAACTGTGGTTTTTTTAAATGGTATGATGAAGAATATGAAGCATGACATCTCACTCAAACCTGCCATATGGAGTAGAAGAAGAAGATGATGAAAAGGCATTGCTAGAAATTATTGTAGGATTGCTTGCTTTTATCTTGGTTATGTTGACAATAGTGGTTTTGAAGATGTAGTTGTTTTGTAGTTTAATGGTTATGTACAATTGTAATGAATGTTTGGTCAATTTTAATGGTTATAAACTCAACTGAATCCATGACAGATTCCAAGTTTGATCATAACAAGTACTATATTGTTTTTCCATGACAGATTCAAAGTTTGCAAATCATATAATTCCATGAGATAATTTAGCAATGTACTTTTATTGCATGTAAAAATAAGATAGTTTCTAAATGCCGGAAACACAATTAACAAAGGGTGGGATTGTAACGTCGTTGAAGATTTTGAAGGATTAGAAGCAAAGGGTCACTATGACTAATGAGTTTCTGGAGAATAATAAATAAGGATTATGTTTTTATTGTGTTTGGATATTGTCAAACATCTACATAGATTTGGTTGTTGATGTTTTTTCAGTGATGATGTGGAAGAAGCAAGCTGAACCATTTGTAGTACATGTGAAATAACCCAAACTGCACATGTTTCTTTTTGTATCTTTTCTGTCAGTGCATTTACACATGTTTCTTTTCAAATACAAGTGCTACAGCATATCATAATTTGTAACTTACCATTACAGCAATGTACTTTGGAAAGTACAGTGCTATAAACTGCTAGTTCTGATCTGATTGTCTAATTTTTCGACCTAGGTTTTAGAGTAAGTAGCTATCAAATTTCTCATGTATTTGGAATTTTTTAGTTGATGTTGATAGGGTTATCTGTCAAAGGAGGTTGCCTGTTGAAGACCAAATGTATTGGATCTCTTTTCTGGCAGGGGCATAATAGTCTTTATCTGGAAAGAAGTTGGGGACAAAAAGATATAATAGAAGAAAGCAATAATAAGAGGAAAGGGCATTTTGGTCAGACAACTTAAAAGAAGTTGGTACTTTTAAAAGTAAAGGAATTGATGGTTTTCTCAGAAATTTCCAATTACACTCATGGTTCAAGTCCATGGGTTTGGGACAAAATATGTTATGTTATATAGGGCAAATTGGTCATTTTATTGGGTTTCAAAATCATAGAGACAGAGTAACATCAGCAACATGAGACTCGATAGTCGATATCAAACAGATCATTATCATAGAGATAGAGATAGAAACAAATCTATCTATAATATAAGTGATTCATTTCTTGTTATCATTGTTTTTTCTTGAAATGGGAAAAATCCACAATGAGTTAGCTACAACCAAACCAAACAAAAACAGAATAGCAGAAATGTACTCACATGATTAGGCAGGAGCAGAAGCAGAAGCAGAAGGAGTGGTGCTACTGCTACTACCCAAACCCATCTTTTGTCCCAAGACAGCAAGCTGATCAACAAACTCAGCACCAGTGAGAATCTCAGTTGTCCCGTATATGATATGCTTAGCAGAAGAAGGTGGCTGCTGCTGCCTCCGTGCAAGCTCCTGCAAGCTTCCATATTCAACATAATTCCCACCACCAATCATGAACACAATCGCTTCTTTAAAAGGCCCTTTCATTTGACCAGAACTCGATTTCGGTGCACGTGGGTCCAACACCAGATAAGACTCAATCTCCGGATTATTATTCGGTTTCCCTTCCATCAACGCTTCAACCGTTCTCGCCATTGCCAACTGATGATCACCCGATAACAGATTCTTAACACCTGCAGTCACAGCACTTATCGACTGCCCATAAAGCTTCTCAGCCCAATCCACAATGTTGCTTCTGCTAGCAGCATCATTTGCAGAAGATGCTAACGAAACATTTAACGATTTTATCTTTTTAACATATTGAAACGCACACGTGTCCACCTCCGCTTCTCTCAACGCGGATTCAACCATTTCGACTTCTACCTGAGGGATGGTTTCCGTTGAAATAAGGAACATGATAGCAAACCGAAGCTTATCCGTTTTACTACCTTTCCCTTTAAGAACAGATAAAAGTTCCCCCTGGTCGATTCCGCCTCTCACCATCATTTCGTATTCCTTTTTCGCGTACGAATCCAGAGACCGCTCTTTGATCTCCCCGAGCAAAACCGTCGCGATGTTTGTGTGTTTATCGATTGTCTGTTTCCGTTCGGTCAGTTCGGGCAGCGAGTTCACCGCGTTCATCAAATGTTTTGTGTTCCCGATCAGATCGGTCCCGTCGAATTCCGCTCCACCACCCGTTCGCCGGTTCACTTCTTCCACGTCTTTCTTGTATTTATTCAACTGTGTCTCGATTTCAACCGCTACCTCCGGGAATTCCAGATTCCCGTTTGCCACCCAAAACGGGTCGACCCGGTCCAATTCATATGACTTCATCCCACCACCGCCTTGTATGGTTAACCGGTTAAGCCTCAACCCGAGCACATCGTGAACGAGAGGTCGGTAACGAAAGTCATGTTGGATGGCAACTGATAACTCGAGGTTCCGGTCAAACAAACATAAAATGGGTCTCTGAAAGGAGCTTGTGAAGTTACCGCTTTCGGAAAATAAATTGTTTTTAACAAGTAAATGATCACGTAACCGCTGGTCCAGCAATGATGCAACCATCTCAGCGGGACCCCCACGTGGGCACCGGATGATCGGGACAACGCCAAGTGTAGCCAGGACACAGAACAACCCGCTCACGAGCTTTTCGATTATTTCTTCAATCTCACGATCCGTGGCTTTCGGATCGTTTAACCGGATGTAACAAGATTTATCAGCTAAAGAGAAGAGATTGTCATCCAGGGTTACAAACTCCAGATACTGGTCATGAACTTTGGAGATTCGTTGGATGGAATCGGAATTCAGGGTTCCGGAAGCAAGATCTTCAAGAAGGGGGCGGGGGATTGATGAAGAGAAGTTTAAGTGGAAGTAATCGTAGACGGAATTAGAGGCATCCAAGATGATTCTTTCAATGTTTTGTTGGGAAGGTCTTACAAAGTAAACAGCAGGAACATCAGAGACAGGTTTGCGGTTTTTATCAATAAGAAAGTAGAGGGTCACACCATGCTTGCGGAGATCCTTCACATGGATCAGAGGGGACAGAATGTCTTGACAGAACTTGTCATAAATCAGTATCTTGTAAACTTCCTCGTTTGCTGTTCCACTTGCGTTTATAGGCTGATTCAGATTTAGCATCCGAGCTATGCACTCTGAAAGTACATACAAAATTACATCATGTTTTGCTTTGTTTGCAAGGAAAAAACAACTACAATGGTATGGTATGAAAACTCATCACTCCATATCAAATAACTACATTTATTTTTAGGCTCAGATTCAATATTCAGGTTATGCAATCCCAAAACATTTCTATTTCTACTCAAGTGTAAGCATCCAAGTTACTCATACACATACATATACTTCAATATACCGATCAAAACTCACTAATTATAGACAAAACCTACAATGTCTCATACAAAAGCATGAAATCGGATGAGATGGTGCTAAAGCTTCAAATTAAGGAACACAATATAGAAAACCGTTCGATTTCTTATGAGAACGCGTATCAATTTTATTTCATATGATTCGCTATCAGTGCCCATCCGATAATACCTCAATAAACATTGATTTTCAGATTCGGATTTAAAATGGACGGTGTTTCGATAATTAGATCATAAACCCACAGCATACATAT